AAATTAAAAATTACCTTTGATGTGTGTTTTCCACCAAATTATGTAAACAAGTTATTCATGTAGATAACTAAAATATCCTAATAAAAACAATCATCTATTACCCAAAATAGCATAATCTTTAAATTTTGATCAAATATAAAAATACAAGGTTACAAGATTTTATCGACTTTAATAAAGGTAAATGCAACTTTTATAAGAATTATTTTTTATATAATTCATAGCACATGTCCAAAAATTTTACTATTGCAACTAGACAACTTTTTCATATCAATAACCTTATCATTATATATTGAATAATAAATTATTTAACTCTCACTTACTTTTCTATAACATAAAGAATACTTCATTAATCGAAAACTCAAAATAAGTATGAATTATATTAACTTCTTTATTTATCAAAAGTTTCACGTACTTCTATCTCAAAATTTTCACTTTCAAAGCATGAGTTTTTGTTAAAAACAATAAAAAATTTAAAAATATATATAAATTCAAAGAATTAAAAGTCCTTTGTTCAAGGACATGGACAAATACAATGAATTAAATTAGAATTTTGTTTAAATTTTAGGGTCCTCTTTCACTGAAAACATAACTAATTGGTTAAATTCAATTAAAACCTATTTATGTAATTTTCAACAAAAAAATCTCATTCAATTAAACATTTTCACATGAATGGAACAATCCTCCACAATTTGCAGGCACATGAAAATAGAAATAGAAGAATAAGTGAAATAGAGCTTAGATGAAAACGGCTAAATCCAATTTTAAGTCCCTTTTTTTTGGTAGATAAGACAAGTGTATATAATATGAACAAAAAGAATATGAATTCTTCGTATGCACTGTTTATTAGAAATTCAATTACTCCTCTCCATTGAGTTTTAGTTATTTTCACACTCTTAACAAGCTAATAAAAGTGGAATGCTTCTTCTATAAATATATATATATATATATGTATATATATATATATATATAGTGTATGCTTCTAATCAAGGAAAATAATTTCCTTTTACTATAGCAGACATTTCATAATAACTTAATATTTGTGTTACTCTTATTTCTATTATCAATGCCTTTTACAATTTTGTAATTTGTTCATTGAACATATACAAAATTCATCATACAAAGAAACATATATGTTTAAAAATTTATTCAAATTATATACAATCAAAATACAAATCACGTAAGAGATATACAAATTAACACCAATTTTATATTGGCAATAAAATTTTAATTCTAAATCATTGTTTCTATAAAAGTTTCTTTTCAAAGTAAACTTTATATGATATATTTTAACCCATAACATAATTCCCTTTAATTTTATACTTGTATATCCTTAATAATGAACTCCCACCTTATTTAATCTATGCATTAGTATCCAAGATAAACTTCCATATTCGCAATTTATAAATAAGTAGTAGCAATACTTGAATCAATTATTTTTCAATATGATTATTAATACATACTAAAAGAACCGTAACTAGAAATAGAGAATCAATAATATTTTCATAAAAGTTCAAGATACAACCATACTTTATTTTATAGACACATATATGTTGATTAAATAAGTCTATAAAGTTAAATCTTAAGAAATCAATTAGTAAGAAAATCATCATTTAGTAATATCTATAAATAGTTATAATTTTTACTTATTGCTCCCACTACAAGTTAATGTATACAATAATCACATTTGGGCAAAATATTGTATGCATTAATATGAAAGTTGCAACTTTATTCTTTAACTCTAATATTTTATTTTAAATCTTCCCAATATATCATCTAACTTTCATGACATGTGCAGTTTGATGAAATCAATGGATATAAAACTTTATTAAATCTCATAAGTTTCCATTATAAGTAAATTAACAAGAATTATCCCACAAAAAATAATTCCCTTTGGATAGAAAATTATTTTTGAAACCAAAATAACAACCCTTACTAATTATTCACATTTTTTTTAGTCAATAATCAATATGTACAATTACCCCCTTTGGGCAAAAAATCATACAAAATGATTTCAAAAAGTAAACATTCTAGAATCTTTATTGAAAAAATATGTCAATTTTAATAGATGGTTCACTTTGGTAGTATCACCCACATAAATTCACAGACTCCCACTGAAACACTAACCTAACATAAAATTTAAGAATTCTTATTAAGCAACATATGAATCTCAATAAATGGCCTACTTTGGAAGTACCATCTACATCAACTCACAAGCTCTCAGCAAAACAATTGCCCATAAATAATGTAACATTCTAGAACCTTGTTTGAGAGATTAACCAATCTCTTACTAAAAAAAAATTTCTTAATATCTCAGAAAATATTTAGTGACAAAAGCAATTAATCCTAATAAATGAACCCTTACGTTATTCATATTAATCATAAAACCTTATTAGGACTTTGCATCTATATATATATGGTTCTATAATCCCCTTCAACTATATCTTTTATAATTTTTAATAATAATAATAATTCTTTAATAATTAAAACATATGAATTGAGAGAATCTTAAAATTTTTTATAAGACCTTTAATATTAATTGGTTCTATTATTTTAATATTAAAAAAATTATATAAAATCTCCATCAGTATTTTAAACAAATCAAAATACACCAATAATAAAATTCTTATAATTTTATTAAACATCTTTTCTTAATCCTACTGTTCAAAACTTCCTCACCTTTTTTTGTGTTTCCCTTCTTGTTTTTCTATCATACTCAACTTCACTTCTTTTATCAATTAAGCTAATAATCTATCATGGAAGAATAATTAAAGTTGCACTTTATGATTCCCTTGGTCACTTAACCAACACATTAAAATTAGAAAAAACTAGGTCAAAACCCCAATTTGCTTTACTTTAGTAAAAAGCTCTTTTTTAGTCCCTCTACTTAAAAAAACTCTTTTTTGGTCCTTAAAATTTGAAATCTGGTCCCTCCCTCCATTAAGTTGTGATGTTAGATAACGAAAATTTCAAAGGATAGGGACCAAAAAGTAGTTTTTTTAAAGTAGAGGGACCAATTTGGGGTCATTTAAACCACTTTTTAGCTTGTTTTTAGTCCCTCTACTTTAACATTTGTGTCATTTAACTTGCCACATATGCAAAATTTAATGGAAGGAGTAAAAAAGGGTCAGATTTCAAATTTTAAGAACCAAAAGGAGGTTTTTTAAAGTAGAATGATTAAAAAGAGACTTTTACCAAAGTACAGGGACCAAAATAGGGATTTAACCAAAAAAACAAACTTTGTACTAAAAGAAAGTGATAATAAGAGAAGCAAACCATGTTTTTTGTTTCACCATTTGGTTAAGTAACATTGAATAAAATTAGAGAAAAGAAACGCAATAGAGGCAATAAAGCAAAGGAGGCTTTTATTTAGCAAATCCAAGGACCCACTTCGGATCCCTTTTCCTCACTGAGCAAGCCTCCACTCTTCATCCTTCATGCAGCAAAATCAAGGAAAAATAACAACTAATTTCTTTTTATGGTTAAGGAATTCATAATAGAAAAATAAAAGGAACACAGAAGTGGTTGTTGCCTATGCAAGATGGCCTAAGGAGTTCTAGCAAAGAGGTTGTCCGATTTCCTTCTTTTATTTATTTATTTATTATTAAAATAAGAGAAAAGAAATATAACTGATCTAATATCAAGTAAATCAATCAAAAAAGAAAAAGCAAAATCAAAGGAAAAATAAAATTTTACCCTTAGGGTGTTGAGTACTGGATAACATGTGTCATTTCCTATAAAGTATGAGCTCACATAAATGTGGAGTATATGAGTCAAACTAGTGTTATTAAATACCTTCTTAAATATATTCACAAAAGAATGAGTGATATTCACTTATTTAGGAGGGAATGGATAAACCTCTTCAAATGAAATCCAAAAATATTATGATTGTAAATGAGTGTATATCAATGTGTCCCAAAAGCTTTTCCCTTTGTTGATTATTGATTTCATGGTTATATATTAAATGATTTTGATTTATATGTAGAAATATTTTTGCTTGTGAAGTAGCTTAGAGAATCCTTAATTTCCTGTTCATTATATATTATCATCTATATAAAAGTTATCTTTTCACTTAAAAGATAAGAAGTATATCATTTACAAAGACAAGGATAACATTGAGGAAGTTTTGAGTAAAGTTGATTTAAAAAAAATCATGTTTGAGGCTTGGATGGGAGCAAATAGGAAATTTGATTATGCAAGGAACTTTCTTATGCTAAATTCCCCATACAATTTGTCTACAAAAAAGAACAGGCACAAAAGTAGATCAAAAGGAAAACTAGCTTCGCAATTTGGAAGCATAGATCATGTCCCAGCTAGTATTGGAAAAGAATATTATTTGAGAATTATATTGAATTTTTAAAGAGGATGTAAGAGTTATGAAGAGATTCTCATTTCTCTCACTACTTTATTCATCCCTGCAGGTGGCTATAATTTGATAAATTCTAAATTACCTTATGTTCCAAATTATTTTTTTGATTAATTCAATTAAAAATGTATTTAATTGGAGTGGTTCAATTAATGATTAAGGATTTAAATATTTAGGTTACTATATAAGCCTTTTTAATTATCCTCTCTCAGTCTAAAATAATTGTGAATTTTTTACAAATTAAAAATTTTATATAATTAATTTTATCTTTGTTATTTTTAAGTATTTTATTTTATAATTTAAAATAATCTAAATTATAAACACTCGACCGGTTGAGTGGACTAACTCTTGCCACCACAAAGTGTAGTTCCCCCTCTTGCGCTGGGTTGAACCCATGATACCTTGTTCAACGAAAAAAAAAAAATCTAAATTACACAACTCTTTTCTATTATCCATAATAAACAAATGAGGGATGAATGAAATATTTTGGTTAAAATTTCAGGATCTTCTGATATTCAGTTTTTTCTAAATTAATTCATATTTTTCCCGATTATACTCCGCCGCATTCATCTTCCCGCGGAAGGCATACCAAACACCACCTTAAGTTGGAAAATGACCACAAAAGATTCAAATAGAAACCACGAGGAGGTGCCGAGACGGAACCGTTCAGCGCGAGTGCGCGAAAATGTTGGTTTTGCGCTGCAAAGCCCCAAACATTCACCTCTTATTCTCTCACGGGAATTTTGTCAAACACCTGCCGGTCTCAAAACTGAGAACCTTCCGCTGTGCCGGAACCAACACAAAAACCTTTACAACAGTCACCGCCGATCTTAATTCTTCTTGTTTCGAAGCTCTGACTTCCCGCCAGAAAGAGCAGATTAATCTGTATGTCGACGCTCTGCTCCAGTGGAACCAGGTCTTTCTCTCCATCTTCCCTATATTTCTTCTTCTTCCTTATTTATTTATTTATTTATTTATTTTGGATTGGCAACTTATACTTTTGTATATGCATTTCTGTCGCAATGTTATCCGCTTACATCAATACATGTATAAGATATGTCATCGTTTGTTTTGTTAGGAAAACGTAGGAAAAGAGGAGAAAATGGAATTTGAATTCATGCTTTAATTTCTCTTTCTTTGAACGGAATTTAGTTTGGAACTTGATGAGTCATTTTGGAGTTTCGAAATTCAGAAAAGTTTTTTGTTTTCTATGGAGCTCTCTTTTTGCAGAAAATGAATCTTACTGCTGTTAAAGAGGCAAATGAAGTGAGGGAAAGGCATATTAAAGACTCCCTTTCAATTTTACCACCATTGTTGAACTCTTACAGCTTGCATTGTAACACCTTATGCGACAATCTCAGGGTTGTTGATGTTGGGACTGGTCCAGGGCTTCCTGGATTGGTTTTAGCTATTGCTTGCCCAGGTTGATTTTTTTAATTTCATAATTCATTGATACGGCTCATTGTTCCCTTCATATATTTTCTTGCTTTTGTTTCTTTCCTTTTAATTATCATTTTCTATTGAATGTAGGTTGGGAAGTAACATTGGTTGAGTCTATGAACAAACGATGTGTTTTCTTAAAGCATGCAGTGGGTCTAATGGGGCTCTCAAATGTTCAAGTTGTAAGAGAAAGGGCAGAGGTAGTTTCAACACTCCTTGTTTATGTCATTGTGTTGGTTATCATACAACTTTGTTAACTTTTAACCATTTTATCATCTTTTCCAAATATCAATTCAATTTTTGAAGGGGTTTGGTTTTATTCTAAGGTTTGTTTACATTTCTATCTCCTATTCTTTTAGACGTAAACTCTAATCTATCATGGTATTTATGACCAAACAGCTCTTCTAAACAAGGGCACAGTAACATTAACAGTTTTACAGACCTAAACTTAGAGTTAGATAACCAGCACACATCCTGCAAACAAGAATTCTTCCCACTCCAAAAACTAAAACAAAACTCTTAAAGAATCTAACCAGATTATATTAGATCCGAACCAAACCATTAGAATGCGTTCTTGTTCAGTCTTGTTCTTTCTTGAGCATGTTTTTTCCCTTGCATTGTCTCTTGACATGAACAAAAATAATACAATTTCAAGTCCATGACCATAGCCTTTAAATTTATGAAACTTATAATAACTCTGTCCATTATTATCTACAAATTTCAGTTTGGTATAAGTTTGAAATACTATGTTTTAAGCATCAGTGCTGCAATCATTGTGCATATTAACTGTTCCCCCTTTCAGGCCATGCATATTGTCTGTATCTGGACGTAGCTTGTTTGAGTGTTGTTTTTAAGCAATATAAGACATCTCCACCTTTTAAAGGAACTAGTTTTCCTCAAACATGTTTTAGTAAGCCTTGATCTACTTCATGTCTGGAAATTAGCGTACATTGTCAACACATTTTAACAATTTTTTATAGGACAGAATTTGGGTCAGGATCATTGTTTTAGAGAGCAATTTGACGTAGCAGTAGCCAGAGCAGTTGCAGAAATGAGGATTTTAGGTGAGCAAAACTTTCTTCAATTTAATGAGGATCTTTGTTTCAAGACTGCAAGTATTGCTTAAAATGGTCCTCTGGTTTCTTTTAATTTTCAGCTGAGTACTGTCTTCCTCTGGTCCGTGTTGGTGGGTTGTTTGTAGCTGCAAAAGGTCATGATCCTCATGTATGTATATGAATTTTACACTGGAACTTTAAACTGAACTTTACAGAATAGTATTGTTATACAGCACAAGAACCAGTGCATATTTGAACATTGCTTTTTCTGTCAGGAAAAAAGTATGGAAGCATTCTCTGTTCTCCCCACATTGAATTGTGTTTATCAATTTTATGAATTTGTGTTGACAATATGCTTGAGCATAAGGGTGGAATTTTAGCTCATTACATTTGCATTAGAGAGATGGACTACCAATTAGGTTCTGCCTCAACTACAAATCACAAAGTTAATAGTTTCTGCTTGTCTTAATATCTATGAGAAATTGTGTAATTGGGACTTCAGGATTCACTCTTTAGAGTTTAATAATTAACCATTTTCTCCAGTGTGGTTACTTTGTTCATTTATATATCAATATATCATGCATGCATAGTTCTGAGCACAGAGTTTGATACTTTGGTTTCATATGTTAAATGAGAGGCTTCTAATTGATTATTTCTATTTTCCTTTTTTATTTGTTACTGTTTGTTAACTGTCAACTTTTGCATGTGTCGCATTTCATTAGGAGGAAGTTAGAAAAGCAGAAAGAGCAATCAAATTGATGGGTGCTTCTATATTGGAGTTCTGCTCAGGTTTGTTTTCTGTATTTCAGTTTTGGCCTTCCATATTATCATGTAGATTGCATAATACTTATTATTTGTTGTGTGATTGCCTTTCAATGCTATCCACTTAGTTTTGGTGACTAGTTGTAACTGCATTATGTTTAATGCTCCTCACATATTCAAAGACCAACACAGCATCAACTGAATGGATTATGAATCAATTGCAACTGATGTTATGGCCAATTTCTTCTGCTTTTCTCAGAAAGTTTAAAAATGAATAATAATCTATAGGTTCTACATTGCAGGCTTGCCTTGGATGTGTTTATGATTACCAACCTAGCTGTAAAGTTTTCTTTATGTTTGGAAAATATGGCTTCTTTTGTGAGATTGGTGTTCTAACAATGAATGCCTTTTATTTATATGGAAATCTTTTATATGAAAATCTTAATGTATATTGTCTCTCTTTTTAATGTCTATATTCTAATGGAACTGACTTCAACTCCATAATTTCTTGATTCTAATTGGTTTATCCCTTTCAACTTTAAAAACTCGCCATTGATATGCCTCCTTTTTGAATAGATGTTAGCATTCTTTTTGATTCTTCTTCACTCCTTTTCTCTTTAAATTGCATCAGTGGAATCACAGAGTCCATATGGGCGGAGAACTGCCATTATTTGCTTAAAAGATTGTTCCACCCCTGCAAAATATCCACGTGATCCAGGTATACCAACAAAAGTTCCAATCTAATAGTGAAAATATCCATTTTTTGTTTGCTTTTCTGTTCTGCTTCATGGAACCACTGATTGTGAGGAATAACTTGTATTATTCTGTTTTAGTACCACATACAATATACATATTTGTGTTGATCTTTTCTAGTAGTTGGATTTTTTTCTCTCTGATTATGTCTGAGTTGGATTGACTTGCTTGTATGACAATAAGGTAAATAAGTTTCTTTCTTTCTGGAGTTATGAGGATCATTGATTGTTAAATTAGTATTAAGGAGTGGTTTTCTAGATTATATGTTGATGACTTTGTTTTTCTAAAGGCATATGTTCACTGAGTATGAAGAGACACAGAGAAGAAAAACAGCATGCATAGAAATATAAAATAAACGTAATGGAAGGTGTAAGACCAAAAGGATGGTACTTTTTGTCAATAATAAAATCAGAAACAAATTGCTATCTGCCACGTTTTAAGTCCATAAAGTACGCCTCCTAAAACTTGGACAAAACATGAAAGGATTGAGTGGCAATTTAATTGACTATTAGATCCTTCTATCATCAAATCTAGTCTGTTCAAGTAATTTAGCCTTTAAGTTGTACATGTGACAGGTGTTTTTTTAGTATTAAATTCTGCCATTAGGATAATTTTTAATATTTGGGGCTTTAGGAGGTTAGCTTTAATCTTATCATGTATCCACTTCAGACACAGGTAAGAATCATAAAAACATTCTTTTACTGCTTAAGTGTATTGACGTGGTGAAAAGATATTGAAGGATGAAAATCAGGTAGAAAAGTAAATATTCCTGGGACATGAAACAACATGATTGTGTATTATTTTATTTAGATATTCGATTCTCTTTACTTGGAAGCATTAGGTGAATCCTCTACCTGTTTGACTGTGCAGATTAACTCAATGTTCTTTTTATAATGAGGAATATAAAAAAGAGTGGTTATTGAAAATAGAAGGGGGTGGGGTTAAACTGCGCTGCATTAGTAATGGTATAAGAAAAAGGACATATACCTAATTTCTCACTTTTAATTAGTTAAGCAGGTCAGACTGTTGAAACATCCCTAGGAAGAATTTATTAAGGTAGATGTCTATGATTTCATTCTGCCACATCTGTGACTTTGATTTGTTGTTACTTATGACTTAATTCTTTATTATATCCAAAGCAGAAAAAGGAAAAACTTATTGAGGTAATTCATTGTTTGCTTCACTTTGTCCTTATGGTTTGTTTCTTTATTAACATTCATGATATGTTAGCATTTTACTGGTCATTTGTTCACTATTTTTCTTTTGCTCTCTAATGGGTGCATGGTGCGTACTTTCTCTTTCCTTTCACTATTTACCTGTAGTGTTGAAATTAGTAGTGTAAAACTGAAGGGTTTTGTTTTTGATTTGTTTTCCTCTCAATTGTTTCTGTTGAAAAAATTGAATTCTAGTAAAGATGTAAGTTATTAGAAGGTTGAAAATACTGCTTTGTTTAACAGACTTCAATTAATTTGTGAATTCCTTTTACTTTTAGGAGAGTACTATGTTTCTACAATCATATAATCAAGATCAATTCCAATGGAATAGGGAATGAGAAACGGATATAGAACTTAACAAACAAAATCTTGTGCATTTCTTATCCACCTTCAGTTGTACTTGAATATTTCCTGAGCATACAACCCTTTGCAGAATGGAAAATGTGATCCTTGAAATTGTAAGATAATTGTTTTGCTCTATTTCCCAACATTAAATACACATTGATATTTTTGGCAACCCAATTATCCAACTTAAATTGAATAGGGGTAGATTCTTATAGAAGGAAATGGGAATAATTGGTAGGCTGGCTAACTACCCTTTAATAGTTTCTAATAGCTGGCCAGTTACCCTTTAAATAATTTTTAATCTCTGTTTTCATTGCCCACTGTCTCCTTGTATCACAAAGTAAACTTTTGTTCCATAAAATAAAGAACCCCACTCATAATTGTACGGATAAAGGGGAGCCATGGTTGATGGGATAGGAAACAGAAACCTCGCTCAAACACATTATCTTGAGCGTCAAAATATTAAATAGTTTTTTCAAAAATCTTTCTCGGTAGAAAAGGTAGAAAAGATGAAGAAGCATTTTGGAAGCTGCAAGCCAGGTTCCGAACAACTAACCCAAAACTGTTAGCCATTCTCTTTTACAATTTACGCATTTTCCCTTCTAAAGTCAATTGTATTTAGCTACGGTTGTAGAGGTTGAATAGGTGCCCCCTTGAGGGAGTCCGTCTGAAACCCAAAACTTACCACTGTGAAACGTAGCTAGTAGTACAATTTAACCCATAGAAATGAACAAGAAAGGAAAGAACTTGGAAAGACAATTAAGGAGAGAAGAGAAATGAAATCTAGTCTCTTCAATATATATGTGCAAAACTGCCAGTCCTCTACAGGAGAGGAACTGTAATCTTCCAAACCTTGATGTCACAGTCTAAGCTCCCAGTGTAAACAACATAAGATGTATTGGATGGGTTGCAATGTTCTACTGCTCCTGTTAAGCACTTGACAGGACCTGTGTGCCCTTCTAGGATTGCCAAGCAGGAATAAGTCCCATCAAAACCTCTCCAGATTCTGACTGTTTTATCTGCAGAACCACTGCATACTATATCTGACACCACAGCTAAGCACAATATGGACTTGGTATGGCCTCTAAGAGCACCAACAACCACCATGCCATTGCCATCACCCTTCTTCCAGACCACTATAAATCTATCACTTGCACCGGAGTACAGAACAGACCCATCAAGACTTAGGCCTAATGCATTAATCCCGGAATTGTGTCTTTCTAGTGTAGCAACAAGAGAATGTTTCTTCTCTCCTGGATCTTTCTTCCACACCTTAATTTTCTTGTCAGCTGATCCAGTGTAAACATCTCCATCGTTTGATAAGGCCAATGCATTTATTGCATCATCATGGGCATTTGTTACTGACTCCAAACATTTGAAGTCACTTGTTCTCCAGACTTTGAGAGTCCTGTCCCATGACACAGAATACAGGAGGTTCTTATCTGTGGACAAGGCCAGTGAGGATACAGTGTCAACGTGATGAATCCAGGTGCATTTCTTGTGCCTTCGGATTTGAACTTGGTTCTTGGGCATGAAAAGTTTAAAAACACGGTCACCAAGTGTCGGTAAAGTCGCTAGATGAGTGTACTTTTGGTGATTAGGATCAGCATTGTTTATCCTCCATACCCGTATCTTGTGATCTTGATGAGCACTGAAAAGCCTATCAGCCAATACCACCAAGGACTTCACTGCACCTTTTCCCACTGCCACCATGTTGTTTGTTAGATCTTGGTAGTCTGATTCAGAGCTTAGAGGGTTGCGCTTCCATGATCTGATTTCCCTATCTGAAGAGCCTGTTAATAGGAACTTTCCAGCAAAGGTGAGGGAGGATATGTATGAGGTGTGGCCTTTGAGAGTGGCAAGGCAGTGGTGGTGGGCATTAGAAATGTGTCCTTGGTGGCGGATTTCTGAGGTAGGAACTGATATAAGGCTTGGCTGAGAACAAAGAGATGGTAGGTCTGATTGAAAGCGGTTAGAGTGAGATCCAGAATCATAATCTGGCTGGAAAATCTGATGCCAGGACATGACTCCTGTTAGACTGAGAGACATATGGTGGAAGAAAGTGAAGTGAGTTAAAATATATAGAGGAAGTATTTTATGGGAGCATTATAAGGTACTTTGGAAAAAGATACATACAATTAGTAGATTAGATTAAGATTTAGAAGAGGTGTATCTTAGAAAAGAAGGAAAAGAAGCCTAAATGATGCTTATCATTTTAACTTACTATCTAGGTGGAGCATAGGAATTGGTTCTGGACAGCCATGCAGCATTCATTTGATATTATGTTACCTTGCTTGCTCTCCTCTACAGGGAATAGGAATTAAATTAGATGCTTCCGTATAAAGGATGGAGGTACGTATCAGTTGCAAAATAATGCAACTTTTCTTTTTTTAATATTGTCTATTGATGATAGGTAAGCAAGCATGACCCGCCACTACCAAATGACCCTCCTGTTGTATCCTCTGGTCAAGTTTAACTCTTAATCACCAATGATATAGTGTATGCTCATAGAAGGTTACTAGTGTTGGATGCCTGCTGTAAAAGGCTTATTTAGTGATTAAAGCATTCCCTGGTTGCAAGGTTGATGAAAGAAGAATTGCAGGGATAAATTATTGATTGAGACATTTTTGTTTTGTTCTTATGGATAAGAAGGTACACAGAAAAACTTATTGATTGTGGCCACTTGTCAAATAATAATAGTCAAAACACAAAATTTTGTAATCCTCTCTCTATATGTCTGGTCCCTATGGTGGACACCATTTTTTGGTGGTTAACTTTGAGTATGTCTTGCACTTAGCTTCTCGGATGTTCTTCGTGTTAAGGACAACATGATATGTTTAAACTTTAAACTGATGTCTTTTACTCTATTTTTCTAACTTTTAGGTAAAATACATTTGCCTTCTATAAAATAAAACTTATATTTATGATTTTACTTTCGATACCTAACATCCTTGGAATTAATTTCTTTGGAAAATATAATAATGCTGTTTGCTTCTAAAGCCAATTTGCGCTGCAAAGAAACAGAAAAAATGCTATGGAAATCGGACCACCCAAACAAAATCATATGTCTGAGTTTTAGTTGAATCCAAACTACCAAATAGCTGAGGTTAAGGTTATATTTGGTTGTCAAATCATATCATAAAAACTAGGAACAACTAGTCTTTAAGATTGATAATTTTTTCTTAGAATAGGAAAAAGGTAAGGAATACCTATTCTTTAATGGGGAGTGGTAATAATTATTCATTAATCATTCACCATTTAGTAGAAACTAATTCCTAACTTGTTAAGTATGTTTATCAATTTTGTCATATTTTTATAATTCAACCAAGGTATAATCATTACTCCTAACTAAACTTGACCTAAGTATCTTTTATTCTTTAACTTGCATGTCTATGGCATTCATCAATTAGAAAAAAATTTCATAAAGTTTAAAAATTTAGATGGGTTTGTGGGCCTAAAAGTTTACTCTAGGGTTTCCTACTACTTAGCTAACTAAGTTACCTTCCAAAAAATGGTGCAAAATTTGTACGAAAGAAAAAGATGGCTTTGCAACTTTCTATGGCCTCGTTTTCCTTGAGAGGGATATCCACCCTTTCAAAATAGAGATATCATTGCTTACTGCCTCTCATCCAAAGAAATTGTGAAGATTTATGAGAGAAACAGCTATGGATTATCCAAAACATTAGGTGGAATTAATAGGGGCCGTGCGAGTTGGCCTTTTGCATTTCCCTTTCTTTGTCTCTTCGAAATTTCTCTAGTTAGTTCTTTTCCTCTTAAAGCGACAATCTAGTGCAGAAAGTAGGATCCTAAATATAACTTAAGATCGATTATGACCAGCAAAAGTTTTTCTGGCCATTTCTCCTAAACCAACCAAATAATAATCCCTTCACCGTCCCTAACCATTTTTTGAGGGCGATGTTTGCATTTGACCCAACTGATTTAAGGAGGATTTTGAGGTTTAAACAGAAGGATAGGATACTAGTATTAAGCCATGTGATAGGATTTGGAGTTCATGCTAGATCTACAGGTGAGAGCTGTCTTGGTGTATTGAGTGGAAAAATTTCACATCAAGGATTTAACAAAGAAACGTGTGGCTTAAATATAAGAAGAGTTACTCCACTATACTTATTAATTTTAGATTGATACAAAATTTATGTTGAAATCCATGTGTCTAATTTTTACACCCAAGAAGAATAATTCACCTCAGCTTCATAATAAAGATAGCAATGATCAAATAAAGTTCAAGATGCTTTTCATTTCTGTTTTACATATTGGGCTCAAGGTGTTAAGGGATTTTCTCTTAGAGGCTCCCAAACATTTTATATGATCGATCCATATGGGTTCTTGCATGTTGTTTGGTTTTTGTTCTTCCTCAATTTTCTCTCCTCTAATTGATTATTCTAAGGACTATTTAGACTAGCAGAAATTATTATAATAGAAGGTTCTACGAGATGATAAACAAGTTGTTGGGACCATCTATTAAATATTTGACATGTAGTAAAGAAACTTTGATGTATTTTCTCTGTAATGTCGATTCTTAATTAGGGGTCGTTTTTACTCGCCCATTCTTTTGTTGTTTATAAATGAATTTCGTTATTTATGAAAAAAAATTAATGAGAGAAACTTTGTCGTAGTAATTAAAAGATAGGTTGAAATATTGAAAGGTTTTTGGTTCAAACCTAACATCCCAAGTGTAAATTCTCAAAAAATTAATAGTTTTTCAAGGGTATGTTAAATATCTTCAAGATTTGCTAAGACTGATTTTAGGATGCAATGTGTTGGACAATTAAATTCTTGAACTGCACTTTTCATCAGCTTAGGGCATGTTGAGTTCAGCTTCCAAGTGTTTCAGTTTTTTGACACTATTTATATTTCATAAATTAAAATTTTTCTCTTAAAAACTTACATTTTTAAATTTTTTTTGAACCTTAAAAAAATCTCAAATAGTAAAAACTTAAAAGTTTTAAATCTAAATTTTTTATAAACTCCCATTTTTACTTTTTTTTTTTATCTCAAAAAACAACTTTTAAATTTTTTCTTCAATAAAAATTTAAATTTATTACTCATAACAGTGCTAAAAAAAACAAAAGCTCTTATAAGTTAAACCAAACAGGTTTTTAGTCTTCCATGACAAGCATATTTCTTTTTCGACTTCCCTTGTAATGGAGAACAATTGTCCACAAGATGTTATTCATTTCTCTTTGGGTGATTTCATTGATTTTGTCATCGTTGATATATGTTAATTGGATTTGTGGACACCTGTTGAAATTGTAATAAATATTTTATAATAAATTTATCTTAAAAAATAAAAATTAATTTTTAATTTATTAATTATTTAATTAAATTTATTTACTTAACACTAATATTAAAGTTAATGTCAATTTTTATATTTTCTA